TCGGCACCGATGGGGATCCCATTGAACCATACGTTGCTGATTCCATCGTTCTGCATTCTGGTAAGTTCACCCTCTAAGAATGCATGCTTGATGTTGAACTACTCTTGATCAGAGGAATTTGAGTTATCCTTCTTATAGGGGTTTATTTCTTCCTTTCACACACACACGCACAAACAATACGTAGTTGAATCTCATAGCACCCTGCCAGGACCCCTAACCCCCACAAACCCCCCAGAATACAGTGCTAGAGAGGAAACAAAGTATGGTACACCAACGCTGATGGTATAACGAAGTGGGAGGAGTTACACGAAAGAATCACACAGGCGTCACCAAACACCACAGCCCTCACAGAAACCAGGCTTGCAGGAATGATAACAAATGTTATCTTTCCAACTGGATATCAGATCCTGAGGAAAGACAGAGAGAACAGGGAAGTGGAGGAGTGGCACTGCTAGTCAAAAACCAATGGAATTTTGAGGAGTTGAAGATAGGGGACAGGGGAGAGGCAAGGAATTATACAATAAGAGCATTTTAGACTGGAGGTCCCAAGGTGGTGATGGCAGTGATGAATAACCCACCACAGAACAACAGGCCAAGACAAGAATATGATGAGAGTAACGGAGAGATGGTTGACACACTGGCTGAAGTGGCCAGAAGGGCCTATTTGAGCAGTGAGCAGGGCAAAGCTACTGGTCGTGGGTGACTTCAACCACAAAGAAATAGACTGGGAAAACCTTGAGCAACATGAAGGCCCAGAAACGTGGAGAGTTAAGATGTTGGAGGTGGTACTGGAAAACCTCATGCACCAACACATTAGGGACACTGCCAGAGAGAGGGAAGAGGATAAACCACCTAGACTAGACCTAGTATTTACCTTGAACAGTGCAGATATTGAGAACATCACATATGAAAGGCTCCTAGGAGATAGTGACTACGTGGTTCTAAGTTTCAAATACACAGTAGTTACAAGTGGAGAGGAAGGCAGGCAGGGGAAAAGGAATGAAGCCAAACTAAAAGAGAGGGGGCTATACAGGCATGAGGAATTTCCTGTGCAAGGTCCAATGAGACAGAAGTGGAAAGGAAAACAGTAAACGAGATGCTGAGATATATGATAACAATATGCAAGGAAGATGAAGAAAGGTTTGTACCCAAGGGTAACAGACATAATGAGAAGGCCAGGACGAGCCCTTGGTTCACCCAAAAGTGTAGAGAGGCTAAAACCAAGTGTGCTAGATAATGGAAAAAAGTATAGAAGGCAAAGGACCCAGGAGACCAAAGAGAGTAGTCGAAGAGCAAGAAATGAATATGGACAGGTAAGGAGAGAGGCCCAGCGACAATACGAAAAGGACATAACAGCGAGAGCTAAGTCTGAACCGAAGCTGTTGTACAGTCACATCAGGAAGATTACAACCTTCGAAGACCAAGTAATCAGGATGAGGAAGGAAGGAGGGGAGTTTACAAGAAACGACCTTGAAGTATGTGATGAGCTTAACATAAGATTCAAAGAAATATTCACAGTGGAAACAGAAAGGACTCTGGAAAGACGGAGAGGTGGGGTACACCAACAGGTGCTGGACACGATACGTACAACCGAGGAGGTGGTGAAGAGGCTGCTAAGCGAACTAGATGTCTCAAAGGCGATGGATGAGGGCTAGATAACATCTCTCCGTGGTTCCTGAGAGAGGGAGGACAGGCGCTCTAACAACCACTAACAACAATCTTTAACACATCTATCGAAGCAGGGCGACTACCTGAGGTATGGAAGACAGTAAATGTAGTCCCAATTTTTAAAATATGAGACAGACACGCAGTATTAAACTTCAGACCAATGTCACTGACATGCATTGTTTCAAAATCATGGAGAAGATTATCAGAAAAATAGTGGTGGACCACCTAGAAAGGAATGAGCTTATAAACGACAACCAGCATGGATTCAGAGACGGGAAATCCTGTGTCACGAACCTACTAGAGTTCTACGACAAGGTGACAGCAGTGAGACAAGAGAGAGAGAGAGAGAGAGAGAGAGAGAGAGAGAGAGAGAGAGAGAGAGAGAGAGGAGAGAGAGAGAGAGACAGAGAGAGAGAGAGAGAGAGAGAGAGAGAGAGAGAGAGAGAGAGAGAGAGAGAGAGAGAGAGAGAGAGAGAGAGAGAGAGAGAGAGGTGGGTAGATTGCATATTCTTGGCCTGCAAGAAGACTTAAAAATTTTTGAAGGCTTTTGTCTTGTAGGCGAAGAAATTTGCGAGTGAGAAGATGAAGATTTGAGAACAGAATGAGGTGACGGGGTAGGAACCTCGGACTCCAGGATTGCAAAAAAGTTAGATACAGAGGTGACTGTGGAAAGTGTGACCACAGGGGAGGCTGCGAGAGTTGGGACTCCAGAGGTTGGGGGCCACTTAGTAACTCGAGAATAAGAAATGCAGGGAAGTCTACCCTGGAGGCGTAGGTGAGAGACCGCTATTGCGTGAGTAAAATCTCTGTCTCTTTGAGACAACGGATTTCTCGTTTATTTAAGTAAACTTGGCAACGACGAGAATAAGATGAGTAAGTTTCATTATAATTATGGCAAGAGGGAGGTAGACTACAAGATGTATTGGTATGGTCATTGGCACCACACACTGGACATTCATCCATGGACCTGCAATATTTCGCTGGATGGCCTAAACGCCAGCAATTTCTACAACGGTGTTCCTCAATATAAACCGAGGACGGAAGCTCACGGCAGTCAAAGGTTAAGCGAGCTACAGTGCAAGGGGTAGCGCCTCCACCCCAGGCAGGAAGTACATACGTGTCTACTTTAAGAACTGGGAGGTCTTGGAGCTCAAGCTACTCCAGAATATCGTCACGCATGTCTGGAAATTACGTTGAACAATGGTACGAGGTAAAATGACGGTACCACTACAGGAATTGAGAAAATGGTGTTTTTGAATTGTTACAGGAATAGCATCAATGGTGGTAAGGAGAAAAACATCGTGAGCTTGGCTAGCATTTTGTATCGAGACGATATTGCACCGCTCTTTACAGGTTGAAACGGAATATTTCGACCACCGTGGCGTAGGAATGCCTTGCTGATACTATGATCAGAAAGATAGTCTGAAGATGTCTGCTGCAGAGTGAAAAATATAGTCCATTGTATATCACACCCAAAATTAGTTTTTCTCGGCCCCAGCTTCTCGAGGGCCGAGAAAAACTAATTTTGGGTGTGATTTACAGGGCCCCAAATCTTGATAGGGAGTGCAGTAAACTTCTATGGGACGAAATTCGTAAGGCATCTACATACGAAAATGTTGTGCTAATGGGAGATTTCAACTATAGACAGATTGACTGGAGCAATTTGACAGGAAATTTAGAGTCAGGTGACTTTCTTGATACGATCCAGGATTGTTTTTTAAAACAGTTTGTGACAGAGCCAACTAGGGGAAATAACCTCCTTGACTTGGTTCTTGCCAGTAGGGAAACACTAATTAATAATCTTGAGGTTAATGATGAGCTTGGGGAAAGTGATCACAAATCACTCAGTTTTAATATATCATGGAATTCCCCTAATAATGGCAATCAAGTCTCCGTCCCTGACTTTCGCTTGGCTGATTTCGTAGGACTGAAAAATTACTTAGGGGGGCTGAACTGGAATGACCTGACTAAGGGTCAGTAGGTGGTGATGGTTGCCGATATGATGCTTTCCAGGGCATAGTTCTAGCTGCTCAGTCAAATTATGTTCCAAATAGGGAAATCAGATCAAACAAAAATGATCCTAAATGGATGAACAATAGATTAAAATATCTGATTGGTCAAAAGAGAGGCATATATAGGCAAATCAAAAGAGGAGAGGGGCAATTGAGAAATCGATATATTCAGTTAAAGAGAGAAATAAAAAAGGGAATTAGAAAAGCAAAAAGAGATTATGAGGTTAAAGTTGCAAGAGAATCGAAGACTAACCCAAAAGGATTCTTTCAGGTATACAGAAGTAAGATCAGGGACAAGATAGGCCCACTCAAAAGTTCCTCGGTCAGCTCACTGACAGTGATAAGGAAATGTGTAGAATTTTTAACACATACTTCCTCTCAGTTTTTACACAGGAGGATACCAGCGATATTCCAGTAATGATAAATTATGTAGAACAGGACGATAATAAACTGTGCACTATTAGGGTCACAAGTGACATGGTCCTTAGGCAAATAGATAAATTAAAACCTAACAAATCCCCAGGCCCTGATGAACTGTATGCAAGGGTTCTAAAGGAATGTAAAGAGGAGCTTAGCACACCTTTGGCTAATCTTTTTCAACATATCACTACAAACTGGCATGGTGCCAGATAAGTGGAAAATGGCAAATGTGATACCTATTTTCAAAACAGGTGACAGGTCCTTAGCTTCGAACTATAGACCAATAAGCCTAACCTCCATAGTGGGAAAATTTATGGAATCAATAATTGCCGAGGCAGTTCGTAGCCACCTTGAAAAGCATAAATTAATCAACGAATCTCAGCATGGTTTACAAAGGGGCGTTCCTGCCTTACGAATTTTTATTAACTTTTTTCACTAAGGTATTTGAGGAGGTAGATCATGGTAATGAATATGATATTGTGTAAAATGGACTTCAGTAAGGCTTTTGACAGGGTCCCACATCAGAGACTATTGAGGAAAATTAAAGCACATGGAATAGGAGGAGAAATTTTTTTCCTGGATAGAGGCTTGGTTGACAAATAGGCAGCAGAGAGTTTGCATAAATGGGGAGAATCAGAGTGGGGAAGTGTCACGAGCGGTGTTCCACAGGGGTCAGTGTTGGGCCCCCTGCTGTTCACAATCTACATAAACGACATAGATGAGGGCATAAAGAGCGACATCGGCAAGTTTGCCGATGACACCAAAATAGGCCGTCGAATTCCCTTCTGACGAGGACATTCGAGCACTCCAGGAAGATTTGAATAGACTGATGCAGTGGTCGGAGAAGTGGCAGATGCAGTTTAATATAGACAAATGCAAAGTTCTAAATGTTGGACAGGACAATAACCATGCCACATATAAACTAAATAATGTAGATCTTAATATTACGGATTGCGAGAAAGATTTAGGAGTTCTGGTTAGCAGTAATCTGAAACCAAGACAACAGTGCATAAGTGTTCGCAATAAAGCTAATAGAATCCTTGGCTTCATATCAAGAAGCATAAATAATAGGAGTCCTCAGGTTGTTCTTCAACTCTATACATCCTTGGTTAGGCCTCATTTAGATTATGCTGCACAGTTTTGGTCACCTTATTACAGAATGGATATAAATTCTCTGGAAAATGTACAAAGGAGGATGACAAAGTTGATCCTATGTATCAGAAACCTTCCCTATGAGGATAGACTAAGGGCCCTGAATCTGCACTCTCTAGAAAGGCGTAGAATTAGGGGGATATGATTGAGGTGTATAAATGGAAGACAGGAATAAATAAAGGGGATGTAAATAGTGTGCTTAAAATATCTAGCCTAGACAGGACTCGCAGCAATGGTTTTAAGTTGGAAAAATTCAGATTCAGGAAGGATATAGGAAAGTACTGGTTTGGTAATAGAGTTGTGGATGAGTGGAACAAACTCCCAAGTACCGTTATAGAGGCCAGAACGTTGTGTAGCTTTAAAAATAGGTTGGATAAATACATGAGTGGATGTGGGTGGGTGTGAGTTAGACCTGGTAGCTTGTGCTACCAGGTCGGTTGCCGTGTTCCTCCCTTAAGTCAATGTGACCTGACCTGACTAGGTTGGGTGCATTGGCTTAAGCCGGTAGGAGACTTGGACCTGCCTCGCATGGGCCAGTAGGCCTTCTGCAGTGTTCCTTCGTTCTTATGTTCTTATGTTCTATGTAAAGGGAGCAATTGTTACGTGAGAGGCATTCATAGCAGTATCATCAGAGATTCCATCGCAAACCACACTATTACCAAAGACCTCAACGGAATGGGATGGGCCCCGGAGGCCCTTCCCAGGTCTAGGAACTACAGTGCCTAAGGAAACCTCAAAGGCTGAAAACAGGAAAGATAAAGGGGAGGGATGGGGAGATTAGGAGGAATGGGAAAGGAGAGATGGGGAGGATGGGACAGGGAAGGGGAGTAATGTGGGGTAATTAGGTTCGATCGGAGGAAGAAGACCGAAGGGTCCAATTCCTCAGATCAAGAGCCTCTTCATCACTGCAAGGAGTCCTCCTTGATAAGGACGGAAGGGATAAACTCAGAGGTGTCCCTGTTTGCAGACAATGAGAAGCTAATGAGGAGAATTCAATCGGAGGATCAGGCAGGTCTACAAAGGGATCTGGACAAGCTGCAAGCCTGGTCCAGCAACTAGTTCCTGGAGTTTAACTTCACCAAGTGCAAAATCATGAAGAGTGGGGAAGGGCAAAGAAGACCGCAGACGGAGTACAAGCTAGGGATGCCAAAGACTCCAAACCTTACTCAAGGAAAAGGATCTTGGGGTGAATATAATACCAAGCACAACTCCTAAGGTAACAAGGATATTAGAAATTATTTCTTCAATCATAGAGTTGTCAGGAAGCGATAGCTATGAATCGACCCCTACAACTACAATTAGGTGAGTACAATTTGGTGAATATACACACACACACTTAGATTTTCAATTAAGAATGAATATAGTAAGCTGTCTAGTTACACCATTTCATGAAGCGTTAAGAGCATATTCAAAACCGTATCATTGAATTAATCGAAGTCTATGACAGGTTCACATCACACCTAAGTCTTGCCTTACGAACATATTCTCGGGTTATTGAAGTATAAAGCGGTCTGCTGAGGTATGAGATCATTTAATTATCAAAAAGGCTTTTGACATTAACCTTTCATGTTCCACATGACATTGTTCCACATGAAAGGTTATTGAGAAAACTGTGCGGAACATGAAACTAGAAGTCATATTATTCCAATAATCAGGCAGTGACATTTAATGCGGACGATCAAGTCCTTAGTGCAGGATCCGTCTTGTCAATAAATACCAGAAACCGCATGATGTTGTCTTTTATATATCTCGCTATATTTTACCATTAGTATGTACTGGGCATTGTGTCTGCAGGTGAGAGGTTCGACGTGGTGCTGGAGGCAGACCAGCTGGTCGACAACTACTGGATCAGGTTCAATGGCCTCATCGACTGCACGTGAGAAGTTCACTTTAGTTTTTATGTGTACTGTTAACATCCTCATTTTCAATATTAAAAATAATTTAGTATAAAAAACATGATATATAGGTATAATATCAAAACTTGAAACATTACCCAGTATATATTGTTGGGAGCAAATATTGTATACTTTTTTTATTTATGTATGTTTCTGAAATATTATCCTAAATCCTTGCTGAAATTTAAAGAGTAAAATGTATTCCTTAAGAGTGCTGTTAGTGGAATGTTCCGTGCAACCTCTGTGTAGTCACCAGTATGTGGTTGCAGGGTTCGATTCATAGCTCCCGGCCTCGCCTCTTTACTGGTCTATAGTAAGTCACTCTCTCCCTGCTCCATGAGCTTTATCATACCTCTTCTTAAAGCTATGTATGGAATTTACCTCTACTACTTTACTCTTCAGATTATTCCATTTCCTGACAACTCTAAGGCTAAAAAAAAATATTTTCTGACATCCCTACGACTCATCTGGGTTTTCAACTTCCATCTGTGACCCTTTGTTCCTGTATCCCATCTCTGCAACATTCGAGCCATATCCACCTTGTCAGTTCATCTCAGTATTTTATATGTCGTTATCATGTGTCCCCCTATCCCTCCCATCCTCTAGTATCATCAGTTTGAGTTCCCTTAATCTCCCCTTGTAAGACATGCCCTTCAATTTTGGGACTAATATTGCTGGAAACTTTTGCACTTTCTCCGATTTCTTGACCTGTTTGACTAAATGTGGGTTCCATACTGGTACTGCATACTCCAGTATGGGTCTGATGTACACGGTGTACAATGTCGTGAATGATTCCTTACTCAAATGTCGAAACGCTATTCTCAGGTTTGCCAAGCGCCCATATACTGCAGCAGTCATTTGACTGATGTGTGCTTCAGGGGACATGTTCGTTATAATGCTTATCCCAAGATCCTTTTCTTTAAATGACTTTTGCAGCTTTTGATCTCCGTCTGCGATATTCTTTGTCCTTCCCAAATCTTCACGACTTTGAACTCACTGGGGTTAAACTCCAGGAGCCATCTTTCGGACCAGACTTGTAGTCTGTCCAGATCCCCTTGTAATCTTAGCTGATCCTCGCCCGCTTGTAATCTTATCAGTTTCATGTCATCAGCGAACATAGACACTTCTGAATCTATTCCTTCCATCATGTCATTCACGTATACAAGAAACAGCAACGAACCTAGGACTGATACTTGTGGAACCCCACTCGACACATGCACCCACTCTGACACTTCATCACGTACCAACATTCGTTGTTTCCTGCCTGTCAGGTATTCTCTGATCCATCGCAGTAATTTCCCTACTATTCCTGCCTGCTCCTCTAATTTTTGTACCAGTCTCTCGTGTGGTACTGCGTCAAAAGTCTTCTTGCAGTTTCAAAAGATACAGTCTACTCATACCTCTCTCTCCTGTCTTACTTCTGTTACCATATCGTAGAATTCAAGTAGATTTGTGACACAGGATTTCCCATCTCTGAAGCCGTGCTGATTGTCACGCATGAGCCCAATCGTTTCAATGTGCTCCACCACTCTTCTCGTGATCATCTTTTCCATGACTTTACATACTATACAAGTCAATGGCACTGGTATGTAGTTTAACGCTGCCTGTCTGTCTCCTTTCTTAAAAATCTGAACTGCATTTGTTGTCTTCCATGCCTCAGGCAATTGCCCAGTTTCGATAGATTTACTGAAGATTGCTGCTAGCGGCAGCAGTATCCATGGAGATATGTTATCTGGGTACACCGTCTTTGAAGTATCTAGCTCACCTAGCAGTTTCTTCACCTCTACCTTGGTCTTGTGTATTATGTCTAGCACCTGCTTTTGCACCCTACCTTCAAGGTTTACTGGAAGCATTTCTGTCTCTATTGTGAATGCTTCTCTAAATCTTGTGTTAAGTTCATCACATACTTCCTGGTCACTCTTTGTGAGCTCCCCTCCTTTCCTCACCCTGATTACCTGGTCCTTGACTGTTGTTTCTCTCCTAATGTGACTGTATAACAACTTTTGATGCTATGCCGTTCTCGTATTGCCTCTGGGCCTCTCTCTTTATCCCTGCATATTCGTTTCTGGTTCTTCCGCTCCACTCCTTGTTTTCTTGAATCCTTTGCCTTCTATACTTTGTACCTTGGCCTTTTTACATCTCCAGTTAAACCATGGGCTCACTCGTGTGTGTGTGTGTGTGTGTGTACTCACACATAAGTTCTCAACTATACGTGGCTGCAGGGGTCGATTTACAGCTACTGGACCCGCTTCTTTATTGGCCGCTACTAGGTTCACACTCTGCTTCAAGAGCCTTGTCGTGTGTGTGGAGTATGAGCAAAATTTCCTGATTTGTTTTTTAGTAAATTTATAATCAGGGTGACTTCAGTGGTCTCTGTTGGACTAAGATAGAGGGATGTTGGAAAGTTTCCCTCTAAGTAATCACTGGCTCTTTCAAAATGATAGAGTTGTGGTACGTTGGGTTTAATTAGGACAATATCTAGTTTTGTTCAGCTTTTTTGGTGCCCAGGATTTGAGAGAGAGAGTTTTCCAGTTTTTTTTTTTTAAGTCTCCTCTCGGTGAATCTATTAGAATAATTCAATTGGTTAGGCGCACCATATTTGCAGCGTCCTCACCACAATGCTGGCACCACTCCATGGTTCATCTCATGTTGAAGACAGGTGGCATGTTTTGGCTTGATTAAACTAACAGCTATCAACTCATCTTCTCTTGCAGCCAGAATGAGTGTGTGCAAGGGGCGGTGCTTCGCTACGACGGTGCTCCTGAAGAACTACCCACCGTCGCTCTGGAGTACGACTCCAACTACCCACCAGGAGTGGTAAGTTTACCTTCTTTCATATGCTTCTCTCATAACTTTCCAATCCAAAACGCTGTATAATGCAGTTTAACAAAGACAATACAATATACTTCATTACACAAATTACATTTAATTAAAACAGATTCATTTCTAATTTATAGGATCGCAACTGTTGATACGCTAGGCATAAAGCAAAATTGTTAGATTAATCTTCCATATCACTTACATATTAGTGAAAAAGCACGGCAGATGAAAATAATAAAGCAAAATTGTTAGATTAATCTTCCATATCACTTACATATTAGTGAAAAAGCACGGCAGATGAAAATAGACGGGAAAGGAGCGAGTCAGTGTGGAAAAAAACAACTGTGACATCGCCCACACACTGAATAAAAGATAGACTAACAATCATATAAGGATTATATCATCAAAATAAACTTTCCTGTAAGGATCATATACTCGACATCATGCAAGGCTGACACCTGCAACGTGATGCATAGGTGATAAACGATTGAATTATTTCTAATGATGAGGTGAACCCCCAAATTCTGTGATCGCATTTGATGAGCTCTCTTAATTCTGCCTCCCAGCTAGGGAGCCTCCCTGCATACTGGGTTCTCTTGTAGTTAACTCCCTAAATTCTGTCTCCATGTAGTGGACCGACTAAATTATTTGAACTTTCAGATTCCGTATTTATAGGAGATAAACCTCTTAAATTTTGTTAACATATAGTGAAACCTTCCCAATTTTGTGTGCACAGGTGGTGAACCCCCTCAACTCAGATGGTGTTGCCGAGGAGGAGGTAACTATGGTTGAATTGAACTCCTTCGAGCCCAGCGTCTTGGAGGAACAGGTCGATAAGAAGTTTTACCTCGCACTCAATTTCAACCTGGTCGACAATCTTCTCTTCTTCAACCCTGACTTATACTCGGTCAATGATGGTGAGTTCCTATAAATTCCTTAAGAGAGGAGAATATTTTTTGCACCATATGTAGTATATATCAATCCATTAAGTGTTGCCTTAATACTAGTGAAGAGCTCTTGATACAAGGAACTGGAGCTATCTGTGACTTCGTTATTTCTAAGACACTGTACAAACCCCTAGAGATTTAACTCTTCCTGAATATTTCATATTGAATATAAAATGTTACATAAAAATGGTAACAACATTTATGTTCCTTTTACTATAACGTGAAATTCAAAATCTGGCATCTTTAGATTATGTTCGACATGAGGGTAGAATTTAGCAACTCTCAATGTGCCATTCACACTCTTAGGAGAAACATATTTAATGGTTTTACTCAGAATTTCTTCTTGAAATTTGCTGTTTTTCTATGATTTTTTATAACAGTGTTCTTATAATATGGTAGTACTCGAAAACCTATTACAATAAGCAACGTTCCCACAGTGTCTGATATATGGCAGGCGCCCACACCACAAATAAACAACATCACCTTCCGGTTTCCACTCTCCCCTCCACTCTCCCAGCCAAGTGACCCTCAGCCTACTGTGTGTTTCTACGACGAGGTGAGTGCCTCACCCACTCCATCAGCATTAGTAGTGACATGTTCAGTGTCTGGACACCCAACGTTTGAAGCATGGTGGCGTAGTGGACTAAGGTGCCGAGAATTTAGCTACATTCCCAGGAGGCTGGTTAAATAACCCGGTTTCGGTCTCCCGCAGTATGTTATTTGCTATAAAACCAAATGTCACATAAGTTTTATCTGTGTCTATTGACCTGACAAGAATCACTCACTAGGTATGCTGTTCTTCCAATAGGTAAGGTGGTCAACAATATGCATGATATTGCATTGTTGTAAAATATAAAAAATGAACGCATGTGAACGGCAAGTGAATGCATTTGAGGCGAGACTGACAGAGAGAGAGAGAGAGAGTGAGAGGTGAATAAGGAAGTGACAAGTCTAGCAGGTGCTAGTGTGGTATTACAGGTGTGTCATGGAGTTATGTATGATGTAGTGTTTTAGTGTTCTATAGGCCATAGGAGGTTTTTGATGATTTTATTTGTACGAGTGCAACAAAAAGAATCTTAAAAGCACATGCGATAAAGCATAACACGCAAAGGCACCTGATGAAATGTAAAGAAGCCAGATTTGGTTAAAAGGAAAATAATTTGTGCTAATGTCGTTGTCTCGGAGCAGTACAGATAACACAGGCACCTGACCTTGCAGGATCTGATTCCACAAAATTCACCTGATCTCTGTCTACTGTATATTTTGTGTTCTTCCATGCTCCGTATTGGATTATAAAACTTTTTAGTGAGTGAAATTGCTCCCACAGGAGGATGAATACTTTATAATTCATTCAAATGCTGTTTAAATACTCTTTCAACTATCCAGGAATCGACATGTGTTGGTAACTTCTGCGCCTGCACGTACGTTTTTGAGGTGGGGTTGGGGGAGACGGTGGAGATGGTGTTGGTGGACGAGGGTACCATTGGTGACGAGAATCATCCATTCCACCTTCACGGCTACAAATTCCATGTTGTAGCCATGCAGCGCCTCGGCAGGTCAGTCATTAGTGACACTAATAACTAGTGCCATCTTCCTCTCCTCACCGACTTGAAGTTGCCTCCTTCCCTCACCCTTCACCCGGCACACACACATACCCACTTTAAAGGAGGGGTTCGGGATATTGGCAGTTTGGAGGGGTATGTTGTATAGTTTTAATGTGCTTCTAAAATGTTGTATCTGGGCGCCTCTGCAAGGACAGTGATTATGTATGAGGTGAAAGTGTTGAATGATTTTCTTTTTGGGGATTTTCTTTCTTTTTGGGTCACCCTGCCTCGGTGTTATGTCATTTTCATACTGTCGTTGGGCCTCCCTTCTTACCTGTGCATATTCATTTCTGGTTTTACGACTGCTCTCCTTATTCTCTTGGGTCCTTTATCTTCAATGCTTCTTCCATTCTCTAGCACGCTTGGTTTTTGCCTCGCTACACCTTTGGTGTGTGTGTGTGTGTGTGTGTGTGTGTGTGTGTGTGTGTGTGTGTGTGTGTGTGTGTGTGTGTGTGTGTGTGTGTGTGTGAGTGAGTGTGTGTGTGTGTGTGTGCGTGTGTGTGTGCGTGTACTCACCTATTTGTATCCACCTATTTGTAGTTGCAGGGGTCGAGACTCAGCTCCTGGCCCCGCCTCTCCTCTGGTCACTACTAGGTCCTCTCTCTCCCTGCTCCATTAGCTTAATCATACCTCGTCTTAAAACTATGTATGGTTCCTGCCTCCACTACGTCTCTTGCCAGACTATTCCACTTCCTAACAACTCTATGAATGAAGAAATGCTTCCTACCTAACATCCCTTTGACTCACCTGAGTCTTCAACTTCCAATTGTGACCCCTTGTTTCTGTGTCCCATTTATGGAACATCTTGTCTTTGTGCACCTGATCTATCCCTCGCAGTATTTTGTATGTCGTTATCATGTCTCCCCTAACCCTCCTGCCCTCCACTGCCTTAACCTTTCTTCGTAGGACATTCCCCTGAGCTCTGGAACTAGCCTTGTTGCAAACCTCTGCACTTTCTCTAATTTTTGACGTGCTTGACCAGGTGTGGGTTCCAAACTGGTGCTGCATACTCCAGTATGGGTCTGACGTACACTGTGTACAGAGTCTTGAACGATTCCTTACTGAGGTATCGGAACGCTATTCTCAGGTTTGCCAGGCGCCCATATGCTGTGTGTGTGTGTGTGTGTGTGTGTGTGTGTGTGTGTGTGTGTGTGTGTGTGTGTGTGTGTGTGTGTGTGTGTGTGTGTGTGTGTGTGTGTCGTGCCGAATAGGACAACATAAACATCTTAGAGACTACATCTCATATACTTCATACAGGTCCCCGGCGATGGGCCGAGTGCCCAGGATGCTGAAGGCATTTTCCCTCCAGATCACAACACTGAGTCTCTGAAAGAGGAAGCTGGCCACTCTGTGATCCTTGGTTTTTGAGATGAGTTTTTCACCTAGCAACAGAATCGCAAACAATCGCAGACAGGCTATCTTAGCAATGCAAGACAAACCATGAGGGGAAGGAGATGAGCCTTTAAGAAATCTTACAAGAGAAGGGGTTACTAGCCCCTTGCTCCCGCCATTTTAGTCGCCTTTTATGACACGTATGACTGACGGAGGAAGGATGCAAAGAAATTTAATTTACGAAATTCATTTAATCTTTCTCTTATACAGAGGTACTACACTTCCATAATACTCAGCCTGAAGGTCAATATCTTCTTCACTTTGCTTCTATTGATTTCATTTTTCCACGTGATATTTACAGTGAGACAACCTTAGAGGAGGTCAGAGCCCTGGACGCCGCGGGCCTCATCACCCGCAGGTTAGAGAATACCGTGAAGAAGGACACAGTGACCATTCCTGACGGAGGCTACACCGTCATTAGGTTCACTGCTGACAACCCAGGTGAGACAAAAGCATAAAGATTTTTAGTTTAAAACATGTTATTGCTTCTTACCTAAAAAAAAAATTCGTGCTTAGCCTTATATTATGGTTGTACATCTCACCCTGTGTGTTCATGTACTGTTTGTAACAGCTTGATAAAGCTCTTGGAGAGCGAAACGTTGCCACAATAAAATGTCACATTAGCTGCACATGTGTTCTTTTACCAAAACGTAAGGAAACTTGCTCCTATATGTCTGTCTGGGAATCGAACCTGGATCTCTTTGGTTGTTAACCATATGCTCTACCACTGAACTACAGGTCACCCATGTTGAAACGCGATTTGTGTGTTTGTGTGTGTGTGTGTGTGTGTGTGTGTGTGTGTGTGTGTGTGTGTGTGTGTGTGTTTATGTGTGTGTGTGTGTGTGTGTGTGTGTGTGTGTGTGTGTGTGTGTGTGTGTGTGTGTGTGTGTTTTATGTGTGTGTTGGTGTGTGTGTGTGTGTGTGTGTGTGTGTGTGTGTGTGTGTGTGTGTGTGTGTGTGTGTGTGTGTGTGTGTGTGTTTTATGTGTGTGTGTGTGTGTGTGTGTGTGTGTGTGTGTGTGTGTGTGTGTGTGTGTGTGTGTGTGTGTGTGTGTGTGTGTGTGTGTGTGTGTGTTTTATGTGTGTGTGTGTGTGTGTGTGTGTGTGTGTGTGTGTGTGTGTGTGTGTGTGTGTGTGTGTGTGTGTGTGAGTTGTGTTGTTGTCTGAACAATTATCACATCTGAAGGTCGTCGCTTCCAGCCGAATCACTCACCTCAGGTGTTAACAGGTTACAAAAAATTCATTGACCCTTTGATGGCAACGTACTGCGAAGGTAGTGTTATGGTGGTAATGGCAGTGTAGTGCAATGGTAGTGTTATGATGGTAGTAATATCAGTGTAGTGCGATGGTAGTGTTATGATGGTAGTAATGTCAGTGTAGTGCAATGGTAGTGTTATGATGGTAGTAATGTCAGTGTAGTGCAATGGTAGTGTTATGATGGTAGTAATGTCAGTGTAGTGCAATGGTAGTGTTATGATGGTAGTAATGTCAGTGTAGTGCAATGGTAGTGTTATGATGATAGTAATGTCAGTGTAGTGCAATGGTAGTGTTATGATGGTAGTAATGTCAGTGTAGTGCAATGGTAGTGTTATGGTGGTAATGGCAGTGTAGTGCAATGGTAGTGTTATGACGGTAATGGCAGTGTAGTGCAATGGTAGTGTTATGGTGGTAATGGCAGTGTAGTGCAATGATAGTGTTATGACGGTAATGGCAGTGTAGTGCAATGGTAGTGTTATGGTGGTAATGGCAGTGTAGTGCAATGGTAGTGTTATGGTGGTAATGGCAGTGTAGTGCAATGGTAGTGTTATGGTGGTAATGGCAGTGTAGTGCAATGGTAGTGTTATGATGGTAGTAATGTCAGTGTAGTGCAATGGTAGTGTTATGATGGTAGTAATGTCAGTGTAGTGCAATGGTAGTGTTATGATGGTAGTAATGTCAGTGTAGTGCAATGGTAGTGTTATGGTGGTAATGGCAGTGTAGTGCAATGGTAGTGTTATGACGGTAATGGCAGTGTAGTGCAATGGTAGTGTTATGGTGGTAATGGCAGTGTAGTGCAATGATAGTGTTATGACGGTAATGGCAGTGTAGTGCAATGGTAGTGTTATGGTGGTAATGGCAGTGTAGTGCAATGGTAGTGTTATGGTGGTAATGGCAGTGTAGTGCAATGGTAGTGTTATGGTGGTAATGGCAGTGTAGTGCAATGGTAGTGTTATGACTGTAGTAATGTCAGTGTAGTGCGATGGTAGTGTTATGGTGGTAATGGCAGTGTAGTGCGATGGTAGTGTTATGATGGTGATAATAGTAGCGTAGTGTGATGGTAGTGTTATGATGGTAGTAATGTCAGTGTAGTGCGATGGTAGTGTTATGGTGATAATGGCAGTGTAGTGCAATGGGAGTGTTATGATGGTGGTAATGACAGTGTAGTGCAATGGTAGTGTTATGATGGTGGTAATTTGGTGATTGTGTAGTGGGTGAGAGCAGTGTTGTGATGGTAGTGTTGTGATGGTAGTGTTGTGATGGTAGTGTGCTGTGGAGGTAGTGATTGTAACGTGGTTATATTAAACTAAGAATGAAACAGTTTGTGTGGGATAGGATTTATCTAGATTTAGTCCCAGGAACGATAGTTACACATTACATTGTCCAGACATAGAAAACATACACTGAGAGCTCAGCCATTTTGCATGGCTGAATGCCTACCTACAATCATGCAAAATACCCAGAGCTCACTTCGTGGAGGTGGCTGCAATGATTATTAATTTTTATTCCTGTACGGGATTACGGGCCATGAAGGACCCCTGAGGTATGGAAGGTAAATTGGGTTTGATAAGAGGAAGGGGAGAGTAGCTCCAATTCCTTGAATAAAGAGCCCTCACTAGTATCAATGTATCCCCCTATAAAAACACTTTTGCCATTCATTTTACTGTAACTCTTGAGACGATTGGAGGAAATGGTAAAGTAAGACCATTGTTTCGCCACGAGTGCCTTATTTATTCATAAAGAAGTCACTTGTGACGGAACGTTTCCTCAACGTCTTGATCTGTGTATACGTGTTTTTCACCTACTGTTGAGAAGTTATATATGCGCGTCAAAACTATATCGTGTGGTGTGTCTTGCAGGATGGTGGGCGATGCACTGTCATCTGGTGTTCCACTCTGAGATGGGCATGATCGGTGCCCTGCACGTTGGTGAGACTAGCGACCTGCCGCCTGTCCCTGAGGGCTTCCCCACCTGCGGCTCCTTCATGCCAGACGTCTAGGACCTTAGGTCCCTTCATGCCAAACGTCTAGGACCTTAGGTCCCTTCATGCCAGACGTTTAGGATCTTAGGCACCTTCATGCCTCAACCGTTGGACATACTGACCCATCATGTCAGACCTATATGATCTTTATGCAGACCTACAAGATCTTCTAGCTTCAGTGTACAGTTCCAATACTCTAATCTCTCTCTCTCTCTCTCTCTCTCTCTCTGTCATATTTACACTGTCATCCTATTTTAATGTACAATTCCCGTGTCTGCAATGAAACTGAGCTCAAAACTTTAAATTTTAATCTTTGTATCATATTATATAATAAAACGCTGTAGCTATGTCCACTGTCTATTTTTTTTTACCTGGGGAGTGAGTTCATTCGGTACATACATATCTTTAAGATATGTTTCTATTGATACTTGAGACAACATTTGGAAATCTTTAATCTGGAAACTTTTCGCCAGCCAGTGGCTTCTTCAGTTCAGTACAGAGAAGAAAGGTAGATGATGAGAAGGAGTGTGAGGTAATCAGTCCCTCAGGGGATATGCTGTACTTTTATCAAGACTGATGGAGTAAACACACCGAGTCCAAGCTGAGGGACTGATTATCTCAAACTCCTCCTTTTCACTGTTCTTCTCTGTATTAGACTGAAGAAGCCACTGACTGGCGAAACGTTTCCAGAATAAAGATTCCCAAGTGTTGTTAAGTGCCTGAATTATTAACTTGTTTTTAATCCATTTATACAAAGATATTGTCACGTATATCGTAGTTATCCCTCGACTATTTTTACCATTTACCTCTCATGCGCATTATACTACTGCAGATTTTAAACAAAATTGGTTACATTAACATCGTGCTGAGCTACAAGACATTAGTAACATGATGAGGATAACGTCAAAAAATCCACTTTGAAAACTAGACACATGTGCAACATCTGGGTATCTTTACTGCTTTCACGTTACTATATATATATATATATATATATATATATATATATATATATATATATATATATATATATATATATATGTATATATATATATATATATATATATATATATATATATATATATATATATATATATATATATATATATATATGTATATATATATTTTGCCATGGACATGCTGTGGTAATAAATGTTAAAGACGTTTGGGTACTAATTTAAACGAGACCTTAATAATACGCTTGATATTAAGAAATAAATGGAAACAATGTGCAATAATACAAAGTAATAATACAATAATACACAATAAAATAGCAAATTAGCACAACAGAATATTAGCTCCTGTTTTTAACTCTTACAAGATATTTTCTACTGAAGGAGCTATTTTTCTTCCTTGTTTAATGCTAGCTGTTACTGGTTGACATTTTGCCCCTATTAATTCGTATCACAAAAGTATCCAACATAGATGAAATAAACAACATAATCTTAACGTACAAAACTCCATTAATTACAATAACCGTAAACGTATAACAGTGTTTGGGGAAACACTTATACGCTTGGGGGTCACTGCTTCCCCAAACACCCGGGGGTGTGTGGGGAGGCAGTGACCCCTAAACACCCCCGGGTCCTTCTTGTGGCCACGGGCATCTCCTTACATGCGTTTACATCACTCAGATTTTTTTTTCAGCCACAAGGACAAGAGAGTGATTAGGAATAACTAATCTTGGTGGCTAACATTTAAGATAACCTTCGGGCGTGTCTGACTTAATTATTTATCATTGCTCGGGAAGTTTTCACCTAATGACAGCTGGCCTCTTTGTTATTCTACCTACGTAGGTCATTAACCCTTAAACTGTCCCAATGTAGAGAAATCGAGAATGGGAATTATAATGGAGGAACTTTGTTAGAGGAAAAAGGGAATTGTTCTGCAGACACGGGTCTTTTTTTAGTGTATTGGTCTGCTCTTTGGATCTTCTGATCATCTGATCGACACCTTTGCTGGCTTACTGCCAAAGCATCTCGTAAGAAAAATTAATATCAGTTTAGTTACGGTGACAGGCTTTTAAATTTATATTAAAATTATGGACCAGTAGCGTCTTAAGATTAGGATTGGGTAACTTTAAAATACTTGTGTAATACTATGTAGATTAATCCTCCCTATCATGGTAAACTCGCAGCTCAACACATGTATAAAAGACTGAGCTCAACATCTGTACTCTACAGAGAGCCTAGGAATTGGATCTTAATACCTGCATGATAGGCAGAGCCCAGGAGGTGAAGCTTGTCCCTAACTTGAGGAAGTTTTCTGATCCAATTTCGTCACGAATCTTTGGGTGAATATCATTCAGCACATGCCACCTGAGGCGCACATCAAGCAAATAACTGCTGCAACAAATGCTCGTTTGACAAATTTAGGAATAAGTTTTCGACATCTAAGTAAAGAGTCAATCACAACACTACTCACCGTGTACGTCAGACCGATATTGGAGTACGTAGCACTAGTATGGAACCCACACCTGGTCAAACACGTCAAGAAATTTGCAGAGGTTTGCTGCAAGATTAGTCCCGGAGAGGAGGAAAGGTTAAGGGAACTCAACCTGATGACACTGGAGGACAAGACTAGGGGGATATGAAAACAACGTACAAAATACTGAGAGTAACTGACAAGATAAATAGGATTACAATGTTTGAGAGATAGGAAACAAGAAGACGAGAGCACAGTTGGAAGTTGAAAGTTAGAACAGTCGTAGGGATACTAGGAAGTATTTTTTTCAGAAGTAGAGCTGTCAGGAAGTGGAAAAATCTTGAGAGTGAGGTGGTAGAAGTGGGAACCATACACTGCTTTTAGAAGAGATACGATAAGGATTTTGAAGCCGGGAGAGAATGAACCTCGTAGCAACAATCGAAAAGGCGGGGCCAGGAGGTGTGAATCGACCCCTACAACCACATACAGGTAAGTACATATAGGTTAGTGAGGATACACACACACACACACACCAGATAACTGCTGCAGCATACTGGCGCTGGGCAAACCTGAGAATAGCGTTCCAATACCTTAGTAAGGAATCGTTCAAGGCACTGTACACTGTGTACGTCAGGCCCATACTGGAGTATGCAGCACCAGTTTGGAACCCACACCTGGTCAAGCACGTCAAGAAATTAGAGAAAGTACAAAGGTTTGCAACAAGGCTAGTTCCAGAGCTCAGGGGAATGTCCTATTAAGAAAGGTTGAGGGAAATCGGACTGACGACACTGGAGGGCAGGAGGGTCAGGGGAAACATGATAACGACATACAGAATACTGCGTGGAATAGGTAAGGTGGATAGAGACAGGATGTTCCAGAGAGGGGACACAGAAACAAGAGGTCACAATGGGAAGCTGAAGACTCAGACGAGTCACAAGGATGTTAGGAAGTATTTCTTCAGCAATAGAGTAGTCATGAAGTGGAATAGCCTAGCAAGTAATGTAGTGGAGGCAGGAACTATACATAGCTTTAAGACGAGGTATGATAAAGCTCAGGAAGCAGAGAGAGAGGACCTAATAGCGATCAGTGAAGAGGCGGGTCCAGGAGCTGAGTCTCGACCCCTGCAACCACAACTAGGTGAATACAATTAGGTGAGTACACACACACATACACACACACACGTGTGTGTATGTGTGTGTGTGTGTGTGTCAGCATAGCTACTGAATATGTGTGTGTAGCATATATGAGTATCGTAGTTAGTACCATCTATATATTTTATATATAAGGTCCCTGCTTGGCCTAGGGCTAGCATGTATGACGTCACAGTGCCGTAGGTGGGCGTCGCTCACCATGCCTCTCTCTCAGTTCCCGGATAGACCTACAGGCGAGAACAAGGCTAGGCTGGGCTTTCCTTCACGACTCTGCAAATATAAGACAGGATGTTCCAAAGAGGGGACATTGAAGCAAGGAGTCACAATTGGAAGCTGAAGACCCAGATGAGTCAAAGGGATGTTAGGAAGTATTTCTTTAGTTATAGAGTAGTCAGGAAGTGGAACAGCCTTGCAAGTGAGGTAGTGGAGGCACGAACCATACATAGCTTTAAGATGAGGTATGATAAAGCTCATGGAGCAGGGAGAGAAAGGACCTAGTAGAACTCGGTGAAGAGGCGGGGCCAGAAGCTGAGTCTCGACCCCTGCAACCACAATTAGGTGAGTACACACACACACACACACACACACACACACACACAAACTGTACACCGTGTACGCCAGTTCCATATTTGCGTAAGAACCACCAGTTTGGAACCCACACCTGGTCAAACACATCAAGAAACTAAAGAAAATGGAAGGCTTTGCAAAAAGACTAGTCCTGATGATGAGGGGTATGTCCTACTAGGAGATGTTAAGGGAAATCGACCTGACGATACTGGAGGACAGAAGAGATAGGGAAGACATGATAATGACATAAATGACATATAAAATACTGAGAAGAATTGACAAGGTGGATAGGGACAGAATGTTTCAGAGATGGGACACAACAACATGTAGTCACAACTGGAAGTTAAAAACTCAGATGAGTCACAGGGATGTTAGGAAGTATTTCTTCAGTCATAGATTTGTCACGAAGTGGAACAATCTGGAAACTGATGTCATGGAGGCAAGATCTATACATAGCTTTAAGAAGAGATATGATAGAGCTCATGGAGCAGGGAGAGAGTGGAAAAGTAGCGACCAGCGAAGAGGCGGGGCCAGGAGCTGTGACTCGACGCCTGCAAACACAAATAGGTAGATGCAGGCGTATATACAAAATCTTAAGAGGAATTCATAGGGCAGACAGGGACAGACGTTTTGCTTTAAGAGGATCAAGAGGACAGGTGGGAGATGAAATCACAGGTGAGCCGCAGGGATCTAAGGACGTACTGTATTTCTTCAGCCTCAGAGTGATTAAAAAGAAGAATGGCTTGAACGAAACAGCAGTTTACCTGGAGTTTACCTGGAGAGAGTTTCGGGGGTCAACGCCCCCGCGGCCCGGTCTGTGACCAGGCCTCCTGGTGGATCAGCGCCTGATCAACCAGGCTGTTGCTGCTGGCTGCACGCAAACCAACGTACGAGCCACAGCCCGGCTGATCAGGAACTGACTTTAGGTGCTTGTCCAGTGCCAGCTTGAAGACTGCCAGGGGTCTGTTGGTAATCCCCCTTATGTGTGCTGGGAGGCAGTTGAACAGTCTCGGTCCCCTGACACTTATTGTATGGTCTCTTAACGTGCTAGTGACATCCCTGCTTTTCATTGGGGGGATGTTGCATCGTCTGCCAAGTCTTTTGCTTTCGTAGTGAGTGATTTTCGTGTGCAAGTTCGGTACTAGTCCCTCTAGGATTTTCCAGGTGTATATAATCATGTATCTCTCCCTCCTGCGTTCCAGGGAATACAGGTT